GAGCAGAGACTGGAAGGAGGCGAGGAGTCAGCTACATGTGTGGGGAAAAGACATGCAGGTGTCATTTCTATGAAAGGCCAGTGCAATAGCCCTGGGGCAGAAGCATGAGAAACAGCACAGAGGCCTCTGCATGGTGAGAGCAGAGAGGAGGAGGAGAGCATTGAAAGAAACGATGTCAGAGGGTATAGGGCGCTGGATCACACAGGGCTTTTAGGATATTCACTGTGTGGTTTTGGATTTATTCAGAATGAAATAGGAGTCGCTGAGACTTTGAACAGAAGGATACAGTGGTCTGGCTGCTTTGTAGAGAGCAGACAGGCAACAAGGAGAAGGATGGGGGAAACCAGTTAGAAGATCCATGATAATCCAGGCAAGAGGGAGTGGTGACTCGGACCACGGGGGTAGCAGTGGACATGGTAAGAAGTGGTTGGATGCTGGATAAATCTGGAAAGCAGAGTCCCCAGGATTTCCTGATGGCTTGCATGGGGGAGTGTGAGAAGTGGGAGCCAGAGATGACTCCAGGGTTTTTGACGTAAGCCAGGAAGACTGCAGCTGCCCTCAAGTGAGTGGGGAAGGCCTGCTTATGGAAGTGTAGATTTTTCGCTGGGGAAGTTGAGAGCTTGGTGTCAGACAAGTTACATTTCAGAGGTGTTTTAGGCATTCAAACAGAGATTTCGACCAGGCTGTTTCTGGCATTCAGAAGAGAAGCCTGGCTTGGACATCCACATCTGTGAGCTGCTGCCACATGGATCAGACCTTGAGTCATGACACAGACGAGGCCACCAGAAGAGCACAGGCTGAGGGGGAATGACAGAGAACAGGCGCTGGGCACCTCAACACGAGGAGTCAGGAGGACAGGTGGCCAGGAAGGGAGATCCCCAGATGCTGCACGAATGTGTGGCTCCTTTCCACATGGAAGACGACTTTCCTGACTAACAGTGCGACATTTAAACATTCAGCATGAAGCAGACTACGTCCTAGTCCTACTTTCAGTTCTGAAAGCCTTAAAGTGCCAGTGAGGCCGATATACACCCAGGGCCCTAGAAACGTCCCAGATTCTCCAGTTACAAAATGATTTCATTGAGCAACATCCTGCATGTTATTTACTCAGTGGAAACAAGACCTGTTAGTCCTAAAAGTATCCCATATGTACCACAAAGGTGCTTATTTAAACAACAAAAACCCTTAAGAATCTATATTCTTGGGCAGCCCCTGTGGCTCAAGGAGTAGGGT